GATAGAGGTTTTGGTGTTGTTGTATGCGATGTGTTCGATTTTGGGGAAGAAGAGTATGAGACTTATAGGAAATGGGGTTGGTAAGCAGAAATTCAGAGGTTAATATGAAGACTGAGGATAACATTTTCTCTACTCTTTTTTTTAAAAATAAAAAATAAAAAATTTATTTCTATCATTATTGATTCAAATTATTTTATTTTATTTATATTTATTTTCAACGTACAAAATGACCACTTTGCCAACAGCAAATTGGATGAAATGTTGCGGATTTAGACGGTAAGGGGAAATTGGCAAAAAAAGAAGTCCATATCCTTAATTTTCTTTAAAAAAAATACAAATTTATAAATAAACCCAATCCTAGACATGTATTTATAAAAAAACCCAAGCACTATTTACATATAGAAACACACCCAAAATCAACCCCAAAGTCAACTTTTTGGGTGTGTTTATAAATGGGTTTTGAGTGTGTGTAATGATGGATTTTGGGTGTGTTTATATGTTTAAATAGTGCTTGGGTTTTTTTATAATTTCAATCCCCATTTTGGGTGTTTTAGTGAAACTCCCTAAAAAAAAAGATGGAGGGTAAATCGAAAGTTAGGTACAAGTTCACCAAAGCATCAGTGAAGATCACATGAGGTTCCCAAGACCAAGTGGATGCTGAGGTCAGAGTTAAAGATAGTTGTGCTAGTCTATGGGCCACTTTGTTGGCCATTCTAGAGATATTCATAATGTAAGTATTAGGCAAAAGCGCAAGGATTGGACAAGCTCCAAAGCATCACACTCCACCTGCAAGTGATTAAAGCTCATATCACCAACAAATTGAAACGCCTCCCTAAGTGCAAAGGCCTTAGCATGCGCTGGTGATGAAACCCAGGGAAAAAAGACAAGCCTTTGCAACAACAAAGTCTCCATCCTCATTCCTCGCCACTAAGCCACCGCCACCAGTCCCCACCAGTCCCCATTATGGGCTCTAGAGGCACCTTTCACGTTGATCTTGATGACCCCAACAGGAGGTTTTTGCCACTTTGCATGAAGGACCATGAGTTTCAACTTGTATCAACCTTGAGATGACTATGTCTAAACCTATCTAAACCTAGACTAAACATTTGAGCTTGAGTAGGATTTAAAAATTACAAGCAACATTACGATTTTGCCAAGGAAAGCCAATACTAACAAATCTATTAATAGGTCAGATTTTGTTAGCGAGATGCATAGATCGTACAATAGCAGGTGATCAGTCGAGAATTGCCATCCAACTGGTTAGAATTTTCCAGAGAATCACAGGAGATGCAGAGACCTGTCATTTCCTTATCAAAGATCAATAATTTTTCTAATGATTTTAGGTGTGTTTGGGTGACCGAGTGCTCACTTGACAGGACCAGCCCCGAATTCTTCGAAAATCGGGACTAATCCTGTGGAATTCCCAACATCACACCGATGTCAGGCCCACTCACTAACACTATAACCTCCTTTTTCAAAAAAGAATAAAGGCACGAGACTTTCTATCGAAATTTTAGCAGAGTCTCCCCTATAAAGTCGGCTTTCCCCAAAAATTTCAACCTGTACAAAATTCACAATTTAATATCTCCAACTGGCAGAATGCACAATATAGTTTCATGCAATTCATATAATCAGCCTCCGACCTTCAAATAATCTATAACCAAACTACCACCAAAGTCCTTAAGCCAAATAATACCTTAAACAGGGCAAATATAAATTCAAACACTTATGAATGCCAAATGCAATTTCCATCATCTAACTTCCTAAATATCCAACATTCGAGGTTTGGACCTCCTAATACAATCACGAGTAGTTTAAGGCCTCATCCCAAATCGTATAACAATCCAAATGGGTTTTGCCCCTAATTCGACCACAACATACTAACACCACCCTCCCGTAGCCAAATAGGAGTATATACAATTATCTAATCCCTTCTCCGTTTTAAACAAGTTTCAGGACCAACGACAAGGTCATAACCAAACTCGATAAAACAACATGAGTAAATTTTAATCAGCGGTTGCACCTGGGTGGGACCCCAGGCTACCTACGTACCATTACTGAGGGATCAAGCCACACATAGTTCTTTCACTAAATTCCGATTCTAACCACATACAATACCTTTATTCATCTCCCTGTTAATCACGTAATCTCCCCATACGCCGGAAAATCCAATGCCACATATGGGGCCTATCTCACACGCCGGAAGAATCTCACGCCACGTGTGAGACCTAATAATCACATAATCTCCCCATAGGCCGGAAAATCTAATGCCAAGTATGAGGTCTGTCAACACGCCGAAAAATCCTACGCCACATGTGACCTAACCATCAAATAATCTCCCCATACGCCGGAAAATTCAACTCCACATATGGGGTCTGTCAACACGCCGAAAAATCTTACGCCATGTGTGACCTAACCATCAAATAATCTCCCACAATAAATAAAAATATTTATTTCCGATTTCCCCTAGTTTAAAACAATAAACTAATATCCTATTCCCACATAATCCACAGAACTCAACTAAAGATCAAGACTTTCCTCTACGGTCATTCTAATCTTCTTGGGAAGGTGAAACTACCTCAGAAGACTCACGGTCAACCAAAAGTCAAACTCAAAAGGGCCCATGGGCCCCATGACCTCCAAATTCCAATCCGAAAGTTCCTATGGGTTCTACAAGGTTTAGGACACAGTCCTGCAAGTTTGATCCGGATCGGACGGTTGGATCGCTCACGATCGCACAATCGGATGGTTACTATAAACCTAGCCCTAGGGTTAGTATTTCCGGAGTATCAAAGACTCCGTTTTACGATCTGTCTAATCCTACACGATCCTAAGAATGTCTAGATTAACATATATTAAATTCATGGCGATCCAACCGTTCAAACCTATTAAACCCGAATAACGCACAATAGGCGAAATCCGTTCGATACTCAAACGGTATCCAAATTGAAAGCCGAGCACCTTTACCCACTCGTGTGGACTAGGAGATTATGTTGGGACGAAATGTCCTATTTCTACAGTGCCCACCGGCCGCCACACGCGTCGGCAGCGCGTGGGTGTCCAAAGCGATTACGCTTCGCCGGAAAATCTCAAAATCCCGGCTTAAGGCTCCTACCCTATTTGGAACCACTTTTGTTCTTGGACCTACCCCAAAAAGTGACCTGAAGTGGCCGGAATCGCGATCCCAGAACCGGGCGAAATCTAATTCGAAAATCGATCTACCTACACTCAAAATTGATGCAATCCTAACCAACCATCAGCTATATCATGAAAAATAGGTAGAAATCCACACCTTAAACGTTAAATTTGGTGGAGAAATGAGAGAGAACGAGCGGTTTGAAAATTCTGGAAAAACCGCTGGATTTTCTGCAATTTTGGCTGGGGTTGGAAGCGGAAGACCAGCCGGTCATTTTGGGACTAGTGCCACCTCGAATGGTGGCTGGAGGAAGCGGTGGCGGCGGAAAACCTGCCTCTGCTGTTTTGACAGGGAGGAGGCGCGATCGGGAGGAGAGAGAGAGAAATAAGGGTTTTCTGATTTTTATCAAACCTTTTTTGCAATATTTACGATTGTACCATTGAGGGTATTTTGATCATATCTTTTTCGTTACAATTCCGATTCGAGCCCACTACATGTCTACGGACTCATCTCGCGGTGCCCTACGCAACAGTACCATCAAAATTCCCAAATTCCTTTCTGGTCAAAAAGTCAACTTTAAACCCAATAAAATATTCTCGGGGTAAAACGGTCTTTTATCTAAATAAATTAACAAATAAAAATTTATTTAGGACCGGGTTATTACATCACTAGTTGGAGATCGGTTGGTTTTCGCGGGTCTCTCTAATTTTTGTTGTTTTATCCTATTTTTAATGGGCTCTCGCTTCCTATTTCAAGTTAAATTGTAACCCAAAGCCTATGAAGTGTAATTAGGACTTTCGGGAGCTACATTGAACATTTAGATTACAAGGGAGGTATCAAATTGGGTTGGCCCAAGGGTGTGAGAGAAATTAAGATATAAGGTTTATAAGAATGAATGGGGTTTTCTTAACCAAAGCTATTCTTATTACTGGTGAAATTTCTCGGGGGCAATTACGAAAGAAGATGTGGGCACAATGCATAACCTCTATAAATTCTTATGTTTTTTGTGATTGTTTGCTTTATTTCTTGGTGTGTGCGTTCGATTCTTCTTATTGGTTTGCATTTGTTATTTGTATAGTCTATTGATAATAAGATCTTGGAGTGCTTTCTACAACAATGTCAATTGAACTAACGGAACCAAGGGTCACTAGACCTATCAATGAATTGAAGCCGCATAGAACATAAACCACAACAAAGTAAAACCTTTGAAGCCGCATAGAACTTCACAACGGGAAATATGCGCCATGAATAAAAAGTTCTAGTAACATAATGATGTAGAACAAATGGCGGAAGCACTCAAAGAGGAGCTGGAGCGACTCGTGTGCAAGGGCAAATCGGACAAACTGCGAACTTGGGCTTCGAGCTCAGAATCGGGCCCATGACCGGTTGATTCAAAGAGAACGGTGTCATGAGTAAAACACATTGCTTTTATATGATGCATGAGCTTTTTGGGGCATCCGAGATCGTTTAGTAGTCCGAAATCCAATTTTAAAGTTTTTACAGTTTTTGGAAACTTTGTTCTTTTCCTATTTTAATTCCTTTGTTTATTTTTAGGAGTATTTAAACATATTATACCAGTGGCTAGGGTTATGTTATGTTATTCAAGTTTATCAAATAAACCTTGAGGTTTCCTCATATCTTCTCAGTAGATTCAAGAGTTTTATGTTCTAAGCTGTGGTTTTAGCCATTTATTTGTCACACTACGTCAGTTGGTATTAGAGCCAGGTTTCTAAATAAGAAAGGAAAACATTTTTAAATTTTCAAAAGAAGAAACGAAAATAATGAGATATCAATTAACATGAAGACATATGGAAATAGTGGAAAGCACACATTAATTAGCAACATAATTATAATAAAAGACCGTTTTACGATGATGATTTTCCATCGTTTATTATCTTCTGCAATGCAATCTTGTGAAGCAGTTGACAGACTGTGAGACGTTTGCACGAAAAGATTTCACGTTTCTTCTTTTTCTTAGTTCCTTGGCCCTAGGTATAGTAAGGAAATTCTGCAAATCGTTCATCGCGTAGAATCGCAGGGTGAGCATTTTTGTTTTTCACCACCCCTGCTGGATTTATCACCAACACGATTTGCCTTTCGTGGTAGCTGTAATCCTTTTCGAGCAGCTTGACGCATGCTTGTGCGGGACGAGAAAACTCCACTGAGTACCACGGCATCTGAGCCACCAAATTATCAAACTTGTGTTGATCCCACGTCTTTACAACGGGGATCCACACAATCCTGTGGTTATTGGGTGGTTTCTTTCCCTCAAGATATATTTTCATGAGCTTGTCGATATCAAGATGATTAAGGTTCAGTCCCGAAAAGAACAAATACAGATTCCTACCCGTGATCAGCTTATCAAAATTCTTGACTTCAACCTGTTAGAAAATTTAGACCAAAAAAAAAAACGCATTCATTTAAAATAGCAAGTAAAAAATTATGATATCAAAGGGATCTATGAAATTATTATTATTATTTTTTGATATAGTATAAAAGAGTTGAGGATAAACCAACCGGGGCGCCAATTTTAGAACCATCAAATACGCGGTTCACTTTTTTGTTATCCTGATAAACCAAGGTTCGGAATCTCGCCGCAGAGTCAGAAATCTTCACCCCGGCGGACCTTCCCGTCGCCTGCTCGTGAATCTCAGCTGCCTTGCCCTTTTGTTCTGAAATAAATAAAACAAATGACAAATGTACCCCCACTGTTAAAATTGCAGATGACATGTTCTGCATTGTGCCAATCGACAACCAACACCAAAGAAACAAGAGACCATCTGAACATGACATGACACCAGCTGGTTATTCGCACATGCATGTGCATGCACCTTGCAAGTTGCAAAAAAAAAAAAAAAAAAAAAAAAAAAAAAAAGCCCCGAGTGGCATAAATAAATACCTTGCAAATTCTTGGCTTCTGCTTGAGGGGCCGGCGTTTTGACTGTTATGACTACCATGATGATGGCCTGAAAACTCTTGGGGGTTGAAGGAAGAAGACAGAAAACTTGTAATAGTCGTCTTATCCTAGCAGTGAGTTCAGTGCCTGCCTGCCTGCCTGCCTGCTGCCCTATTTATACAAGTCTAGTACAATCTTCTTCACCTTGGACAACTATTTAATTAGGACAGTAAGTAACGTTTAACAAGGATCTACCTCGGTATTATATTCCCAATTTGCCTAATGCAACAATAATATTGCAGCATTTAGATATTCTGATGATGACTGCCTCCCTCCGTTTCGCATTGGATCCAACTTCTTTTTGTGCAAGTCAACTTGTCCTCTTTCTTTAAGGAAGACTTTTTATGATAACCGAGTGTTGAGTCTATAAGAAAGTCGCCTATTCATGAGGGTCTTTAGGGCTCCTGTCTGTCGAAGCCTTC